ATAAAAAACAGGTGTAGGTTTTTTTTTAAGGATTCAGACTTTTTGCCTTACCTGACTGAACGAAGAGGTAGTACCAGCTCTGACTTAACCTTCTAAGTAATGTGATTCCATTGTAAGATTTAGAAACTATTATAACCTTTTGTAACTAATAAGTTGTAGTTTTGTATTTTATAATAATTGTAGTAAATTGACATTCTGCTAGCACCTATTTACTAGTTATTATAGTTATAGTAAATATACATTTAATTTTACAAAGTTTTTTTGTATTTTCTATCCACATATTAAACCATAATACCACAAACTATAACAATATTAATGTTGTTACTTATTGCTTACTTATGATATATTAATTATAAGACTAATATTAATCTGTAAGTCACGGACACAACACCTAGCATTTATATACTACCTATACTCCAAGTACTTGGAGTATAGATAGTATATACAAAATGTAGTAACTAGAGGATGCTCAGTTGACATAATTGTGAGAACCTTATAGTTAGTAAAATTGTATATATTAATAATGGTAGTTAAATGGACAACAGATTTATAGTTCTTAGATCTATTTTGTTCAACACAGAAAAAAGTTCACAAACACAAATTCTAGATTGTTTCCATGACTACATAAATTATAGTTTTCATTCTAAAATAAAAATGTGCTGCTCTACAGCCCATCAAATGGAAATATGGTGACTGTAATAGAATACCCAGAATTAGGGCCGATGCAAGGATTTTTTGGTACACAGGCGAAAAACATCTTCACCTGTGTCCCTCTTAACCCACCTTTTGTTTCTTATCCCTTTTTAAATGTCTTACCACCTTTAGTGTCTTATACCCTATTTTCTCCTCATTGTGTGTCTTACACCGCCCTTGTGTATCTCTTACTACCCCTCTTTGTGTTTCTTACTCCCCCCAGCCTCTGTATCTCCTTCTCACCCAGACCATTTGTGTCTTTTACTCTTACCAACTCTTTTGTGTGTTTCTCTTTCACCACCAGCCCTTCAATCTCCCCACAGCCCCTCTGTGTCTTTTTCCTCTTCACCCCCTTTGTATTTCCACTTACAGGCCCCTTTGTGGACTTTCTCACCCCAGGCCCATCTGTGCGTCTTTTCCCCCCTCATATCCCTCTGTGTTTTTCTCCCCATTCAGGGCCCCCTGTGTGACGTGCCACTCTCCCCTCCATGCCCCTTAGTGTTCCTCTCTCCTCCCCTCCATGTCCCTTAGTGTTCCTCTCCCCTCCCTCCTCTGTCCCTAAGTGTTCCTCTTCCTTCCCCCTTACCTGTCTCGTAGTGCCCCCCATTTCCCTTAATGTTCCTCCCACTCCCCCAATCTTAGTGTTCCTCCCCCTTCTCTTTTAGTGATCCCCCACTACCCCAGTGTTCATTTCCCTTTCCTTCCCTCCCCTCCCCTGTATCTTAAAGCCCCCCTTAATGTTCCTCTCTTCCCCTCAAGTTTTCATCAACCCTCTGTCAGGATCAGCTCTGCTCTGTTCTGATGTCTGACCATGGCTTCTGGTATCCAGTACTCTTTTTACAATTTTTGTTTAGTTTTTCTTGGTTTTTTGGTTTTCTATTTCTGGTTTTCTTTATGCTGGGTTTTCTGGGTTCATTCTTGTAATCCGTCCCTGGATTTCCCAGTCTCTTGGATTCATTTAAATGTTTGTTTTATTTGCCATACACATTTGTTTTCTATCATTCCTTTTTGTTTCAGTGTCCTGCAGGCAGCTGCACAAAGCTTCTGCCTTTTCCTGCAGGTAAGTACTATGTGTGTTTTCTTTGGCTGGTTTAGCTTACATTAGGCAGAGTAGGACCTGCCAGATATGGGGTACATTGGCATTGTTGGCAGGCTTATGCAATGTATGATCATATAATGTAACTAAATCCCCATACTTTTCATATATAGTGCTTAGTTATGTCTCCTCTTGTTTTGCCTATAAAATCTTGTCTTGTTTTAGTTTGTATACCCAGTCCATGTACAGTCCTGTCCTGTCCTGCCCCTGTTTAGTTAATGTTCCCTTATGTATTGTGTACATGTTCTGGGTTTAGCTTCCTGTCCTTCTCCGGTTCTGGGTTCTACTAGTTCTGTCTTGGTTTCATGTTTGGTGCCTTTTCTAGTCTTTTCTTGATTCTGTACTGGATACATACCTGTTGCAGAGCCTCCCTACCCAGCTCCTGGGAGGTCTGCTTAATTACCTGCTCCTAGTTCCTGGGATCAGTTTAAGCTGCATCAGGGTTCTGGTTGTGGCTGCACAAACGCTGGTGCTCAACACCAGGGGGCATGCGGTTACCCTGCACCAGACCCTGCTAATCCACCTCCATACTGTGACTCCAACTCTGAACAGCAGGCTTACATGGGTCCTGGTCCACGCACCGCCACCCGGACAGTGTCTGGGTCCCGGTCACCGGACCGCCACCCTGACACCCTCCCTCTTTTTTAGTGTTCTTTCCCCCCTCCCGTCCCATAGCATTCTTTCCCCCCTCCTGTCCCATAGCATTCTTTCCCCCCTCCCATAATGTTCCTTCCTCCTACCATAGTTTTCTCCACCCCTCCTATTGTTTTCCTCCTCCCCCATAGTGTTCCATCCCCACCTCCTATAGTTTTCCTTCCCCCATAGTGTTCCTTCTCCCTCCCCCCCACCATAATTCCCACTCCCCTTAGTACAGTGAGCACTTCCTTTCAGTCCGGTCGGGTACAGGAAACATAAGTTCCTGTACCGTGGTGCGCACTGATCCGCTCGGCCATGCTACACAGAGTGCCTGGCAGGAGAGATCGCTGTACGCCCACCACCTGCCGGTCACTCCAATCTAGCGCCCCCCGGGCCGGTGCGCCCTAAGGTGGCCACTTGTGCCGCCTTATGGACGCACCGGCCCTGCCCAGAATGTATGTACTAATTCCATCACTTTCCTTTTATGGTTTTAATTTGAGATAAACATTATAAACAGTTTTATTAAATATTCAGAAAATGTAATTTATGATTTTTTTTTAAATACATTTTTATAATTATAATAATACATTTCTACAAGATTTCAATGAATAATTATTGATGACATTTACAACAAATGTAAGTTCTAGAACTATTACAAGAGCAGACAACAGGGCAAAGCATTTATTGGTACCGCACTATCTCACTAAGAGAGTACATTCTATATCAATTTAGATTTTAGATATTTACATATATTTTGCTTTATGAATTAGTCAACATAATAAACCCATTTCAGGGGACCTAATAAATTCTAACTCCCCAGTGACTGAACAGCAAATGTGTTAAGTTTTAGTCAAGAAAGAAAAACAATTTGGCAGTCACTGAACCGTTACATATTAGGCACACAAAGGTATTTCTTTTCCAGAGTCACTTTTATTACTGGAGGGCCATATTAAAGCATGGTCCATCAATCCCTGTAGAAATTGCCTCTTCCCAAGTCCTTCCTTCTTGATTTGTATACTCAATGTACTGTGACATACCCATTCCAAGCATAAGGGCTTAATCTTTCACCTTCTGATACAGGTCAGACAGCTGAACAGGAGCATGCCTGACAACACCATGTCACTGATATCCCTCGGCAGCAGCAATGCAGAAGGGAAACAATCTGTGCCAATGAGATATCTCACAGTGAACTGGGTCATTGAGCTCATGCTTCTGTCTCCTGTATTTGCTTTCTATCAGGTTAATTCATTTTGAGGGAAGCCATGGCTAAAATACAAGGTTATCTTAAATGGAAAAGCTGTTTACATCAAACATAATATTTTGGCACATTGTAATTTACAGTTTATTGGCAGCATAGCTGCAGATGGACACTGCAGTTAAAATGATGTCTTTGTGTATTGTATTTCTTTAAAAAAAAGTGTTTTTAATCTTTCTCCGAACACTGCTATTTGAAAATAACTGTTTTTTTTATTTTTTTATTATAGCCTGGGGGAAGAAATGTCTGTTGCACTCTTCACTTCCTGTTCTATATTAATCACAATGTACACTGCCTTTGCATCACTCACAATGTCCCAGAACAGCAGTGTTGAACTTTTTTGACAGGGATTGAACTTTGGCAAATGGAATTCACTCAAGAGCTCATTCTTTAGCAGTAAAACTAGATCAGCTCATCCATTCTTCATGAAATATTATTTACACTAATATAAATATTGCAACATAAATTACTTTATTTAGACACCCTTTGTTAAACCTAGTCAACTTCATTTATATTCACTTAAAAAAAAAATGGAAATGTATACACTAAATTGTAAAACATGGTGATTTGACCACCAAGATTTAGGACATACCAAAAACAAAGTTGGAACAAAATGCCAAGCTGTGCCAGGTTGAAGATTATTCATTTACTCACCGGTTTTCTTCTAAATTTTGCATATAGGTTGTGAACTTTCCATTTAGTACACAGAACCCTAAACCTAAACTAGTGTAAATAGTAAAAGACTATTTTTTTTTTCCTACATTTGTTTCAATTTTCTCATGCTGACGTCCTAAAAGAACATAATCAAAGGGACATTCGATAATTAGACATCAAATCAACCCAGTAGGTTCATGACATTTAACTTCAGCACTTTTGTGAAATAAAATTAAAAAAAATTGGTTCTTTTTTAAATGTATAGAGCAGAGAAACTGAGCCCACAGAAGTGTGAAATATTGGATTGATCAAACAGTTTCCCAGCTGGTGCTGTGAACATTATTGGAACACGGTTTATCAAAATCTCAAATTACTTTACTGATAATTATGATTAATCATTAAACTATTAACTTTTTTAGAAATCCAAGTGATGTGTTTTGATCCATGTAAGTAGGACTAAGTGATAAACAAATCCAAATACTGCACACTCATACTACAAATCTGCACACTCATACTACGAAAAGCTAAATGGTTACCACTAAAGCATTCATTTGATGAAATCTTTGCAATAGAATTGGCTCCGTTCTCTGTACTATAATTTAAGACCCTTTTTTTTCTAATTCTAACTGTACATGATGCTCCCATTGTATATGATCATATACGTGGAGAAGATTTATCAAGATAAACGCAAGTGTTATTTTGGTTGCTAAGTGCTAAATGTTAAGAAACATGGGGAAGATGTATCAAAGTGTTCTGTTCTAAAAGGTGGTCTAAAGCACTAAAAGTAGGACAATCACCATCTAAACCACTGGAACCAGCTATCGCATTTCATACCTCCTTCAATTTTACATGTTTGCACCATTTTTGGAATAGAATATTCTAAATATTTTGATAAATATCGCACATTTTATTGGTTCTCTTGAAAATTATTCCCCAATTTAGTTATTTGCCCTGGAAAAGCTCCTATTTTTGCCTTGATAAATACCCCTTCTAATCTTTTAAAGAAGCAATGGTATCAATCACAATTATTCCCTACAGCAGGCATAGGCAACCTTCGGCACTCCAGATGTTTTGGACTACAGCTTCCATGATGCTTTGCCAGCATTATGGGTGTAAGAGCATTATGGGGAATGTAGTCCACAACATCTGGAGTGCCGATTCCATTGATTCCATTTATGTTGTGATCATGTCTTATCCACATATAAACAGTGACAAATATCCTTTTTTGATGCAGCAAAGGATTACACTAGATATAGGTAAAACAACTTTAATTTTTTGCAGTGTATGCAAATAGCAATACTAAAATGTAAAATGAGTACAGGTTAAGTCTGTAAAGCATGTGACTTGGCTGCCATTTTGACCTCCTTGGAGATACATTTATCATCCGTAATTGCGCTAGCAATAAAATATGGTATGCAGGGATTCCCAAAGCTTGAGATAATTTGGAACACCTTAATTCCCAAAGTGTATATGAGATATATAAAATATTGTCACCCCTGGTTTATTGCTCAATTCAGATCAGCTCATTTAGTTGTATGATGAATTAATCAGCATTCCCTTGCTCATATGGTAACTATTTTAGAACATAATGAAAAGGCTAACAAAAAAAAGTATAAAGCAGTGTTATCACAGTTATGACGAATCCTTATACTGCCTACAACTGTTGACTTATACGATTCCGTAGAGGCTGCAGAACTGATTATCTTTCTCAGTTATTCTGGGAATCGAAGGGTCAAAGCCTAGAAATCTCAGCATGGACCCGAGGCACTAACTTGTTAAGAGAATGTCCATCACTGTATGGGAAGAAAAACAAGCAGGCTCAGCACAGAATGTCAATCACAAACAATCAGTGTCACACTAGTTATTTATTTGTGTTTTGCAAGAGAAAATAATTAAGGGTAAAAAATTACAAGTCAATTGTAGAAGAGTTCTGCAGAAAGCTATCATCTGTATTATTTTGCCTGTCTTGGACAATTCTTTAATATCATATCAATACAGATTAGTTTTTCAAAAACACCACTGAGACAGGTGAGTGACTTGTCTAGTGGTTATGCGACTAGTGAAAGGGACAAATCAATAGGGCAAACAACAAAATGTCATTTAATTGACAATAATTAAGCATCTTATAAACAGGTTTATCTACAAATCTACTCTCTGTGTTAGTTTACGGAAAACGTACAGAATCTGGAAGAAAATGTATTTCTGTTTTATAGATGTGGTGGTTACCAAGGGTTGCTCAATTAATTTAATTTAATTTGGGAAGTTGAATGTTGGCAGATACAAGAGAGTTATTCACTAAACAGCAAACAGGCGTGAATTGTACACTGCATTGCAAAATAGTTGGTTTTGAAAAAAAATTCAAAATAGTAATAAATTGCCTATTTTAGCCTTAAGGGAATACTCCAAACACAACTAGCACAACACACTCTGCATTCTTCCCACCCCATCTGCATTGCATGCAGTCAAACTCACTCCTGCTTATGAACTTCCACTAGCCTACCTGAACTAAGTCTGTAGTTCAGGGCCTGCTCATTGGTTTGGTTGAGAGGGTTAGCTGAGTACTCTCAACCAATAAAATAAGCCATCTACCACTAAGATTAGCCCTCTAAATGAGAGTCCTAAACAGTTCTAAAATAGTTTGACTTGCATTGGAAGGGGCAGGGCATTGGAACAATGTAGTGGTTATTGTGCATGGAGTTTTCCTTTAAATCAGAAATGTAATTAGGGAGGTTTATGAACAATCCTATAGCCAGCTAAATGTTTGCTATTTACTATTTGTATTCAGAAATTCTCACTCGTTTTTAATTGTTAATATACTTGCCCTGTCTGGCTGTTTAGGCACGGCGTACACATTAGACAAAAGGATCAGTGCTAATATACCAAACTAAAAGATATATACATATAAAAGTACAAAAAATGAAAGTAGGCTACACACCTTAAAACATAAGGCATCGTCTAAGCCTTATAAACAACAGAGATGAGTCAAATAGGGGGGATAAAGGTTGCGCCATAAATGATAAAAACAGAATGTTTTATATAAAATATATAAAGGTTATGGTGGGGAAAAATTGTGATTGAAAACCCCTTCCACCTGAAGTCTGTGGATAGTTAATACAATGTTAAATAAAAATCTGCACACCAGCCAAGCCATAAGACTTGCTTTTCCCACAGAGAACCCAAATCTGCAGTGATGTTACAACCGCAAAGGATTCTGGGTGGGCATATGCAAATTAGTTTAACAAAGAATCACATTTTTGCCTCATTCCATTTTAAACATGGATTCCTTTTAATCTGTGTTTGCAGTATACAACTGCTTGGAACATCAGTGAACTGGTTTTGCATCTTTTCCTAAATTGTGTTCCAAGCAGTTGTATACTGCAAACACAGATTAAAAGGAATCCATGTTTAAAATGGAATGAGGCAAAAATGTGATTCTTTGTCCCTTCTTCCCAGCTAGAGGGAGGTTGTGGGGTTCCAGATACCCCCATGGTGCCACTTCGGGCAGACGTCCTTATGGTGAGTACCCATTCTTCCCTTCTCGCTCCAGAACGGGTGGCGGGCAGGTTAGCCTTGTTCTCCCGGGGTAGGGTGGCTGTGACCTCAGACTCCTGGGTGCTCCAGTCGGTAAGGGGTTATCACCTTGATTTTGTCTCGCTGCCTGTCCAACTTTCTATCCCCAGGCCCGAGGCCAGCGCGCCACCCACAGCAACAGGGTAGGCGCAAGCACAGGGGAGCATGGAGAGGTGGTGTGCCTGGGGAAAAGAGATTTCCCCAGGCACACCACCAGAACGCAAAAATAATCACATAAACAGTAAGCAATTCAGTGTAAGCAACAAACGTGTATAAAAGCACAATGACAAGATAAAATCAATGAGCATGAATACACAAGAGGAACAAAATACTTAGCTGGTCTGAGGGAGCAGCAAAGAAAGAGGGGGATTGTGGGAGACACAGGCCTTTTTTAGTTACTTCCTCTGTGATTGGTTGCCTGTGTGCCTATACAGTTTTTTCTTTCATTTTGATAATATTTATATTCCTCTATCTTTGCTGCTGAGGGAATAAAGAAAGAGTTATGCATAATAGGAGCCTCGGTGTCTTTAATAAAATTACTATTTCTTTATATAAGAACAACTAATACTTTATTCATACTGGAATGTTACTAACGACGCGAGGATGTAACTTACTTTTTATGACGTATCGTGAAAAAGTAACGTCCAAATGGTTTGTAGTTCAAGATCCTACATGATGCTATGCTGAGATTCTATAAGTTTTCAGTGTTTAGCCTAAACATATCATGACAGCTGTCAAAGAGACCCATTAACATGAATTAAAACTTACAGTGTGAGAATCTGTGTTAGAAATCACATGTGAGTAAAACTGTATGGAAAACACTTCTCAAAAATGCCAAATATATTTCATTAATGTTACTAGCAGGATGTGTAATATTCCCTTAAGTCAAAAATATATGTCCTATTACACCAGCCTGTCAAAACGTATACATTTCAAATAAATGAAATTATTTGCTTTACTAGTGATACCGAGCATCATTCTCACTATATTGGTCCATGGCGAGTACCATGGTAGACCTTGATAATTGTATCACAATAATCAACTTCCTATATGCAGGTACTGTTTTCAGCATTCAGAAACAAACTATGTTTTTGGACTCCAAAGCTCCCACCTCCTCTGCCTATCAGCTCAGCACCCAATTATATAAAGCATTCTATATTTATTTTATCAGGATAGCCCAACATCCCACTCTGAAATCCTTTGTCATGTAGGACTGCTAAAAATAAATAGATTTTCTTAGAGCAGTAGCCAACAGACTGCTCTCCAGTTGTTATGCAACAAAACTCAGGAATACGATAATTTGCTAGCCATGGGGAGACACAAATCCTATGTGTGCGGAAATTAAGCTGTTGTTACTGCTAGTCTAAATCCTGGATGGATCATGGCTTGATATGCTGGGTACAATGAGCTCACTAAGCCCCCTATCTCATATCAAAGCTAATTAAACCTCTCTGTTATGTCAGGCTTTACATATGTCCTAGTTCATGATATTTCAGTCTTTGGAAGAGTTGAAGCGCAAGATTCATTCCAAGAATGATGGCATTCCGAATATCGCTCAATAAGTAATCATGAATGAAACTACAAAGTTAAGTTAGTTCACACAATTACTTAAAAGGGACCCTATAGTCACCAAAACAGCTTTAGCTTAATTAAGCAGTTTTGGTGTATAGATCCTGCCTCTGAATTCTCACTGCTCAATTCTCTGCCTTCAGAGGCATGATCTATACACAAAACTGACTAATTTTGCTAAAGCTGTTTTGGTGACTATAGTGCCCCTTTAAAGATCATCTTTTATATGATTGATTAAACCTCTTGCACACTTATGAATTAGCAAAGTAAATAAAGGAAAATATCAAACAGAATATGCCATGGAACAAATTAGTTATCACAGGAACAAGGAAGAAATGAAACAAACCTTGGTTAAGTAATAAACAGAGATTTAAAAAGAACAAAAAACTACGAGCAATGATGTGTTTGACTCTGTCAACAAAAATCATTCAAAAGTTGGGCAGTCATAAAACCTACCATCACAAACCATAAACACAGATGATTTTTGATGGAAATAAGATAATATCCTTGAAATAAGATCCCTTAGGAAGACAAACTAAGTGCAGCTGAAAGGCATACACAGATTGTTTAATTTTGGACTTTTTCACAAATCCTCCGCAATTATCAAATAAACATTTCACTTTCTAAGGCAATTGGGCATTTAGTGCCTTTAGTTTCAAGAACATATTGACCCTACACTTTGCCTACAAATATTATTATATATAAGTTTATTTTGTTTTTGGCACATAACACTCATTTCCAGAACACTTTAC